AGTCGGAATGGCACGGGGAAGAAGAGGCAACGTACGTGCCAAGTGCGGGCCAAAACCAACAACCAAGAAAGCGGCATGAATCATCCCACCGCGCGGTTGAGAATTGACTGTATATAATCGAATGCATATACCGTTTGCTTTTGAATTGGATCAGTAGACGTTTTCCCCAGCCAGCTCGTCTTCTCGCTACAATATATCCATAGATATATATCAGGAAAGCAGTGTTTTCAATAATTGCCCAAAGTTCAACCTATATTGTATTATTGTTGTATATGAATAACCCATTGTACTCAATCTGCAATCCATGTCATGAAGTCTAACGGAAGTCGAACAACATGTTTCCCACGTATCAAGTAGTCAGGCTAATAAAAACTGTATACAAACAAATTACCATGAACACGAGAAACCCAATAAGGCAGAATCCCACAGTGTGGCTCTGAGTAACAAAAAGTGTCTTCAAAATAATAATAATAATAGACATTGTTAGTTGTGCTTACACGTTGTCCAACACATTGTTGATGCAAACCAGTTGCGTGAGAACTAAACAGGCAAACAGGGCTAGCAACGGGAACAGCACCGTACGAGTGGATTTGGCCAGTGAGCACATGATCAATCCGAGACCGAATTGATGCCAACTGATAATGATGTTGGATCCGAACAGATAGATATAATCGGTCACACCGAGGCTGACATCGGTCAAATCTTTCCCGTGCAAATAGTGAATTGCCGTGCCAAGGGCAGCCAGTATGACCACACCGACTGTAGATAGAGCAATTCGGGATAGTCCAGAATCAGATCAGACAATGAGAGATGGAGGGAGAGAGAGTTGAAACCCATGTTGAATTGAAATCATTTCGACATGACGAGAGAGAGAGAGAGGGGATAAGCGAACAAGCACGTTTTCATTGTATTGTATTTCACAGGATAGCTTGATGCCTATTGTCTTATTGTCTGTTTAAAACTTTTCTATAATTACCTACTCATTTTTTTCTCATTTTCGGCAAGCTAAATAGGTAGGACCATCAGACAGTTTCCCCAGAGGACCAAGGAACACAAACCAGGCTGGTTGGCTACTGCGGAAAGAAATACCATCTCCAGTACGGCTTTTCCTCTTTGTTCCCGTTGTATTCAGCTTATTTTACCGGTGGACTTGCACGAAATAGGTGTTTCACCATATTGATTGCAGTTATTTAGGTCCGTTCTCTGATCATGAACTGGATCATGTGCAAGCATGGATATCCCGCTCACACTAGATCACAGGCTTCAGCTATGAATTCACCACAGGAGAAAATAACAATAAATGAAGTACGAAATGGCACTAGCAATTGTAATTTGGACACCATAGTCACAGAGATGTAGAAAGGAGGTTACAGACAAAGGGGTTAGATTATTGTGGAAAACCAGTGGGATTAAATAATTTGAGCAAAGGAATGCTATTGGTTTAACAGGTCTTCGTCGCACGGTTTCTGATTGATTGGCACTATTAGCCTGTGGTTCGTTATCGAGAAACTGTACCGCATCGCCCCTGGCTGATGTTATCTCGTTGGCTAGGATCATCCCAAGCAATTTTTTTTATATAAAAATGCGTTGCCAATGTTTCATGATCTTCACAATTAGTTTGAATATATTAATTTACTATCGGGTACATCGTACACATCGAACACACTAACTTGAAATTAGCCTGCGAAGGAGGACAGAAAATTTCGTTTACTTTCCTTGATATTTTATTTACCCCAAAGTGACGGTTTTGTTCAATAATCTATCCTCCGCAAGAAGACTTCGTTCAGACAGTCCACCCATTTCAACAGCTTATCAGCAACAGAATACTAGGACGATAAAAATATTCACGGAAATCACCCTAAAAAAGAAACAGGAGAAATATGCAACAGCGCGTTACGGGGAGAATAACCATCCGGAGTCGTTTGTCCTTTTTCACTGCCGGCCAAGAAATCAGACTCAAGCACCTATCCACCGGTTGTCTAAAAAAGATATCCACATTACTCTGCCATTCAAAGAGGAGTGAAAAATGCAGCTTGTCACATAACGCAAAAGAAACGTCTCACAAAGGACCTTCTTTTCTCATTACGCCTCCATCCGATTGCACAGTGTCTTCCCTTGTTCCCATTGAAAGGTCACCATTTAGCAAAGTTTATCCACCTCCCGTTGTATTGACGTCTTCTGTTGCGATTACAACGAAGCTTACTTGGATGGAATCGAGTGAGCACTGCGAATTAGAATGGTCAAACATCATCACACC